GTGGGACAAATCTTGGTATAGTGGGACAAATCTTAGCATTGTGGGACAAATCTTGGTTTATTGTGACAAATCTTGGTAAACTTGAACAAATCTTGGAATAATGGGACAAATCTGGATATAGTCAGTGGGACAACTCTGGGTAATGGGACAAATCTCTGTATAATAAGTGGGTCAGACTTTGGTGTAATCTGTGGGACAAATCTTAGCATAGTGAGACAAATCTTAAACAAATGGGACAGACATTGGTATAGCTAGTATAGTGGGATAATATATGTCCCACTATACTAGTGGGACAAATCTTAGAATATACCAAGATCACAAGACCACTAGTATAGTGGTATAAATCAAGTACAAATCTTGGTATATTAATTTGTCCCACTATACTAGTGGGACAAATCTTGGTATAGTTGGATAAAACTTGATTTAATGAGACATTAGGTGGCTGTCCACAGAAGCCCACCCACTTATTAATAATGCAGATACAGACCTTAGAAGGGGTTCTCTACAGAAGAGGCCTTCTACAGCAGGCAGATGGCCCTGCCTCTAAACTCCACCTACAGCCTTTTGTCTTCAGGGAATCCATCTTTCGGCTGTTGGTGAAAACATAATGTGTCAGTAGGGGGCGCAGTGATGCCCACACTCCTGAGGTAACTGCATCAAACCCTCCATCTGGGCTTGCTGTGCCACACAAGAGCAGAAACAAACCAAACCCAGAGAGCTCAGTGCAGATGGTTCTTCTGTCTGTAAAAGTGCCACCACTGCATCAGTTCAGGACAGAAGAAGAAATACAATAAATAAAACACCCCCCACCCCCTAATCCGACCTCCACCCACACGTATACTACACCTGAGATCACACACACAGTGAGACGGAAGGGAAAGGAGGGAATTGGGGGTGGGGGGTGGGGGATGAGAGAGAAATCAACAGATGCAGTGTGGAAAGGACCAGAGGAAACTGATGAGCGAAAAAGACGAAGAGGATGATGAAGCCTCACACAATGACATCACAACAATTATGTCATCTATAATGCGTCCGAACGAGCACAAGATGCAGTGCAGAAAGAGGAAAAACATTCATTTTGCCATAACTGAATTTGCATAAAAATGAGTCCTTAAAAGCACTATCTAGCGATCCAAGTATCTTAAAATGTATATAATTTCCCTAATCTACCTTTAGATCAGTTTTGAGTACCAGGTATGTCTTCAGTAATAATCCTTTGTCTTAAGATGTTTATTTTCTTTTGAAAATTAGCATTTTAATCTGCCGGCTGATGCATCCCTTCATTTAATTGTTGTGATAAATTGCCAAATTGAAATAATTTACGTATCATTTTGAAGCTTCTCAGATTAAGAGTTTGAAAATATGAACTCCGTATAGAAAATTCCCTCATTATGACTCGTTTTAGGAAACAAATATTAATTTAACATCTGGCGTGATGTTTATGTTTGATAAATGGAAATAACTTGTGAATGATTGCGTTCAAACTTAGTTGATATGCTGGTGAAGATTCTCAGTGTCTATATTGTATTTTTGTTTTAATTTAGTTTTTTTTTTTTACTTGTGCCATAATAAATTTTTATATCCACATGCATTGACAGATAAAGCTGAAAAAAATAGAATCTGACAGAATTTTCTAAAACATTCACCAAAAGACTGTTTAGGATGCAACAAGTCAAAAAGTCCTTCCTGGTCACTCAAAAATATAGTTAAACACATAACTGTCCATCGTTTAAGTCTGTTTGGTTTTACTGAGGCAAGAGAAACAAGTTCAAACATAAATAATAATAATAATGTCATCACAATGTCAGCACTGTATGTTTCCATACGATGGTGAAATTGGTCTCTGCATTTAACCCATCCACCACCAGGTGGTGCAGTGGGCAGCTATTGAAGGTGCCCGGGAGGCATTTTGGGGATGAGGCGTGCTGCCCAGAGACGCCATGTGATGTGCAGTGACTGGGGATTGAACCTGGGACTTTCAGGTCCCAAGCCGGCTGCCCTGCCTCTACACCATCTCGGCCCCTAAAAAGCAGTATTGTAGGTATTATAAAGTTAAACGTTTTAGGCATTAAAAAAATCTACCAGAAAGCACATTTATAAACACATTACATACGCATTTGACGACAAGACGGTGAGATTTGTCCATGAAGAACTTCCAGATAGCACCATAGTCCTGATAAGATGTTGGTGTCAGCCGGTACAGCTCTGTGCATTCACAGAAGTTCTCGGGGGAGGGGAGTTGCGCAGAGGATGGATACACAGATTCTTCTTTACACACATCCCAGGAGAAATTTGAGAAGTTGGCCTGGTCAAGACTGAGCGGGGAAGTCAGATTCAGATAAGCCACAGATTTTCTTTATGCAGGCAGACTGTTATTTCTCGTCAGCCTTGGTAGTGGTACTTTCGATATCCAAAATGACCAGATTTGTGGGCTTTCCGCTGATCCGTGCTTATTAGCTTCCTCCAAGGTCGTTCCCAACATGCTGGCGAGTCCCAGAAGCCACAAGTGGCCTACGATTCTCATAAATCGCTTCCATCTTATGGTTGAGCTTGTGAATCAGCTGAGTCTGAGTGTTTGAAGCATGAACCAATCCTTCACATAAGGTTGGCAGCTTTGCCATGGCCGAAACTGCTGCCGCCGTCTTCTTTAATAGCCGTTAACATAGGTATCCGGCGGTGCCAAAAAGCAGAAACCCTGCTATCATAAATCCAGTACATCTTCGGCATCCTCCTGAGACAACACAGAAAGGCACATCAGCTTCCAAACCCCCCCGTGTGACGTACCCTGCCGCGTGCGTCTCAGCGGGGCATGAGGGCTCTCCAGAACCCTGTCGCTTGGTTGAAAAAATGTTATCAATTGCATTGAAAGTCCAGCTGACCAGATCCATGACAGTAATTTACGATTCGGAAGACGTGTAAATAGAAGCTCTGACACACAGGACAGAGAGCAAAAAAAGCAGGAGGGAAGCAGGAGAGGGAAGAAAAAGCATCCGTCTTGCTCTGGAGCGAGCGAGAAAAAAAAAAGTTGTATTAAAACAACAAAAACGTTTTTTAAATCATGTTGTAAACTTTAAACATTAAAATGTTTCTCACTAGGACTGACAATGATTAGGTGAAGGGGGTTGGTCAAACCATTTAAAGTACAGCATTTGGTTTAGACTTCAAGAAGTTAGAAGTTAAGATCAAGATGGCTCAGTTAGGGCAATTTAAAGTAACTGGTTAGTCCTTTGAATTTCAGTTTAAAATATTTAGGAATTAAAGACTATTTGGTTAGGGTTAGGGAAATGTTCTGACTTTAAACAGAAGCTTAGGAGGCTAAGTGGTGTAGTGGTTTGCACGGTCACGTCCCAGCAACAGTTGAAATCCCAAGTTCCTTGTGCAAGGAGCTTACATCGTATATACAGTACACATACACTGACACATTTTGCTTTTCTCTGGTTCCAGTTTCTTACCACTGTTTAAAATTATGCATGTTAGTTCTATTAGCAGTTCTAAAATGGCTTTAGCTCTATGTACCTTCTTGTGTCTTTGTGTGACCCTTGGTCATTGGTCGATGACACGTCCAGACTGTTGGCTCCAACCAATCATGAACCTGAACATGACATGGTGCCGAATACAAGTCATGATTAGGGAGACCTATGTTTCATTGTAGAGGTTTTATGGTATAAAAATTGTCCTCAAAGCAGGAGTGGGCAACATTTTTTCCTCCAGAGGGCCAATATAAATATAAATATCTGGGAAATGTTGATGACAAACTGACCTTTGATGCACATGTAGACTCACTTTGTAAGAAGGTCCATCAGAGAATGCATTTTTATTTGAAACTCTGTGGTTTTAATGTTGATTCTATTTTTTACGAGACTGTTTTATTCATGTTTTACCGAGTCTCTTTTAACTTTTACCTTCATCTGGACTTTTCTTGACTTTTGACTCATCTGGACTTTTGACATGCAAAAACAGGATTAAACTCTTGGGGATTGTCTGGATGTGCAGCAAAACTGCTGGCATAGCCCTACAGAACCTCACTGACCTACACACGGTGAGGTCAGTGAACAAGGCCAGGCTGATTCTGGCAGATCCTGATCACCCACTCCATGGTGAGTTCAGGTTGCTTCTATCTGGATGCAGGTATCTGCTGCCTGGATGTAGGATCAACAGACAATCATGTAGCCATCAGGCTTCTCAACGAACAATGATGATTTCTGTACTGTTATTTTAATGTCTTAATGTCTTGTCTAGTATGGATGTTTTATGTGCTACTGACTGTGAAACTAATTGCCCTTTAGGGATAATAAATATACTTGAACTAGAAATCCAGATATTTAAACCAATCAAAGGGGTGCAATGAGAACTGAAAAATTAATATTCTTTAAGAAGGGTCATCTGGAAGACATTTTTCTGCCTTTTTCTTGTAGCATAGTTAGCATGCTTGATAAATACACTGCCTGGCCAAAAAAAGTTGTCACCAAAAAATAAAAGGTCACACTAATATTTTGTTGGACCGCCTTTAGCTTTGATTACAGCATGCATTCGTTGTGGCATTGTTTCGATAAGCTTCTGCAATGTCACAAGATCTATTTCCAGCCAGTGCTGCATTAATTTTTCACCAACATCTTGCACTGATGACTAGGCACTAGACATGATGGGTGCATCACTTCACCTTTCTCTCTTCTTACTCTGATGCGCCCATCAGTCTGGAACAGGGTAAATCTGGACTCATCATGACCTTCTTCCATTGCTCCACAGTCCAATCTTTATGCTCCCTAGCCTTTTCTCCAGTTATCCTCAATGATTAGTGGTTTTCTTTAGGCTACACAGCTGTTCAGTCCCAATCCCTTGAGTTCCCTTCGCATTGTGCATGTGGAAATGTTCTTACTTTCACTATTAAACACAGCCCTGAGTTCTACTGTTGTTTTTTCTTCAATTTGATTTCACCAAACGTTTAAGTGATCGCCGATCACGATCATTCAGGATTTTTTTTTCCAGCCACTATCCTTCCAGTTTTTAATAATGCGTTGGACAGTTCTTAACACAATTTTAGTAGATTCTGCAATCTCCTTAGATGTTTTCACTGCTTGATGCCAATGATTTGACCCTTCTCAAACAGACTGACATCTTTTTCACGACCATGCGATGTGTCTTTCGACATGGTTGTTTAAGAAATGAGAAGCAGCTCATTGCATCAGTTGGGTTGTTGTCAGCTGAAAGATAATCGCCCATGCAGTAATTATCCAATAGGAGGCTCGTACCTATTTGTTTAGTTAAATCCAGGTGGAGACTTTTTTTTTTTTTTTTGGCCAGGCAGTGTATGTCTCCTCCAATTCTCTTTAGGAATAAAATACATTCTCTGTCAACTGGCTCTTCTGACAACACGTTTGTTATAATACAATTTTACTTTTACTTTTTGGGAGTTTTAAGGTTCAGTCTAGTCCGGGAAAACAACTCAAAGTAACAACACAAAGTTTTAGCCTACCTTTATCTAAATGTTTTTGATATTTTTCCCCCAAGGTGTTTAATTTAAACTTCCTTGAGCTTCCCGGATGAAACACAGGTTTTTATCAACAAAAGTTGCGCTGTCACAATTTGGGACATTGGGGGCCATATGGAGATAGTCCAAGGGCCACTTTTGGCACTCGGGCCATATGTTGTCCACGTCTGTTATATAGGTTGCCATGTTACACAGAGCCAGAAGTGGATTTCAGAATGTAAATTTGTAAATCTTGTCCTTTTGACCATTTAAAGCCCTTTAGAGGACAGGCGACGATTTGCACGCGCATTCTTACATCTATTTTATACTGAACCCTGCCACCAGCCGGGGTCAGAATGCAACGTTTTTAGTCACACACCAAACAGGACATGTCTGACAGCACAGGTGTAGAAATGTGACGCACGTAAGGGCAAGACATGCAGCTTTTCTTGAAGGTTTGGTGATTTTGAAAACCCTAGAAAATATTTGCTCACTCGACAGCCTATTGTACCAAAGGCTGGCTCGAAACTATGTCTTCAGCAGAAAAACAGGAAGAGTTGATACTGTGGGGTCTGATTTGAGTCTTTGCATCCCTCGGGATAAAAAAGAGCAGCAATGGATGGAGGGATAGGAGTCAGCAAGGTGAGGTGCAAGGGAGGACATGGAAGATGTGGAGAGAATTGCAGGCGCGAGACAGGTGGCGAGTTAAGGTGGCATGGAAAAACAGAGAGCTCTGAAGGATCGAAGAGAAACCAAGCGAGAAGAGGGAGACAGAGAGAGACAAATGGCACCGAGGAGGGAGATGAGGAGACATTTGCTCATTAGTGAGGACGTGATGGGAGACTGGAGGACTGAGAATGGGGACAGGCAAGTGGAATGGTGAGTTTCATGGCCACTGACTAATGAGAGGGGAGGAAGGAAGGAGGTGGAAAGGGGTGAAAATGAGACTGAAGAGGGAGGAAGAGGAGCAGGGGAGGGGTGGGGTGAGAGTGGAGAGAAACTGGTGGGGGAGGGGAAGGGAAGAATTTGCACGTACGCACGCGTGCACACACACACACACAGTTGAAACTGCAAACGACATCAGAGAGGAGCAGATAGACATGATGATGAGGAGGAGGAAAAGGAGATAAACACAGGAGAGGAGGTGAAGTGGGTGTGGAGGAGGTGAGAATGATGACGATGTAAGGAAATAGGGCATGTGAGGAGGAAGAGGAGAGGGAAAGTTACAGAGAAGAAGAGATGACAAAAGGAGGGAGGGGTGGCACACAAGGAGATAGATCATGGAGGAGATGAGCTGAGATGGTGATGAGGAGGAGTCAGTAACAGGCTCCTGCATGTCAACATGAGGGTCAGAGCAGGTTGCTGGTTCACTGCCATCATCAGGTGAGGGAGGTCCATGAAACACCCCCTTTTATGCACACACACACTTCCACCTGTGCACTCACAACACACTGACACTGTGAGATTCTGACATTTTAGATAAAAACAAGTAGTCTGAAGCTATTCATCTGAGTTAGCACGTGCACAAAGTCACACACACACTCTAGTTGCAGCCACCTCACAAACACACACATATACACACACCAGTACAAGTCTGGACAGCCTGCCTCTGCACACAAATGCACAGCTGCCGAATCCCTCCGCCGACACACTGGCAAGTAGAGCCCTAGACAGTGAAGATTAATGAATAATTATATATTTCAACACAATATAACCATATTTTTCTGCTGTGTGCTAAACGAGTAATAACATTAATTTAAATTAGCGTGCTGGCAGGTTTTAAATGTGACTTTTTCTGAAATTAATTTTTGTACAGTATATTATTATGAGATACATATACATCAGCCCTTCCATATAAGGGCAAGCGTTTTAATCAAAACGATTTAAAACGACGAATAGTTTAAACTTAGAGGAGTTTCACGGGACTACTTTTAGTCAATTCAAACGGTTGGTCGGAAGGCAGAGCGGATGTCCACACTACTTTCCTGCGGGTGTTGTCCGCCTCTCCCTCTCGCACACGCTCACTCACCGCCGCTTCCATCTATCCGAGCAGTTCATCAATTAGGCAAAAATTAAGCCTCTGAGCATGCAATAATTTCTTTTTGGCTCTTCCAGGAGGATTGTAACCCGCGGACAGAGACCCCCGAGAAGTTTTAAGCGCGGAGGAGGAGGAGGGGGACGAAAAAAGGCGGAGGGAAACGAACCGCAGGTACGGAGTGAGACTGTTGTCGCGACTTGAACTACAAACGTTACTAATGTACGGCGAGCTAACAGGCTAACGTTAGCATCTCAAAGTGAGGAGGAGGAGGAGGAGGAGGTGGGGGGAGAAGAGGGACTCAAAATGCACTTTGTCAAGAGGAGAGCAGTGTTCTATGTTCTTAAGACTCTGTTCATTGCTTCAGTTGTTAAAAAAGAGGCTTAAAGTCCCGAAGTTTAGCTAAAATGAGCCAAAATCGACTTAATTTTTTTGTTTGTTTTGGTTTTGTTCCGGTAGCCTCAGCGGTTGAGAGGGGGGGAACAAAAGGACTTGAAAGTCTTGACACCGATGACTGCTTAGAAAAACTGTTCAAGTGTTCATTCAGCTGCAAACAAAGACCGTAAAATAATAATAAAACAATAATAATAATTAGGATTTATGTTTATGCTCTTGAACTCCTCCAGATGTGAACTTTTATTCAAGCTGTAAGAGGTCGCACACAAGGCAGAAGTGGATCAGGATGCATCATATGTGAAATAAACTCTCGTTTGTTTTATCACTTTGAAGCAGATTCAGAGCTGCTCATACGAGGGTCAGAAGTTGCGAAACAGAAAAAACTTGCGAATCCAGGAGAGTTATCACAAAGACGATTTCATTTTTAGGTCTTGTTGTTGTTGTTTTTGTTTTGGACCATTCCAGCAGGGATTTCTTCATCTTGTCCCTGTTCGCATGAGGGATTCGTCCGGCGAAGTTAAACGGGGCAGCTGCTGTTTTCTGTGGGAGGGGGAGCTGCCACAGACAAAAGAGCTCCACAGACTCCAGTATTGTCTGCGCCTTTAGCTGATGGTTGATGGTAATCTCTCGGATTGTTAGGATTGCGCCTCTTCCGCCCGCAGAGGTCCTAACTACTTTAGGTTAAACGTGTAGAATGAGGGATTATGGGTTAATGTAGAGAGTTGTTGTGGGGGGTGAAACTGAGGATGATGATAGGGAAGGGTCTAGCCTGCACATCGTGGCTGTCTATGATCTGGTACTGGTGTTTTTTGAAGCTCTACTTGTATAACTATGTCGTAAAGGAGATGGATGTGTTGCTTTCTGTCTTTTCCCCCACAGTTTGTTCCCGGATGTTGCTGTTTTTTTGTTGTGCTTGTCAGGTTTCACAACATTGGTTGGGTTTCAGTGGAACTCGTCACATTTAAAGTGGAATTTTCAGAACGAGAACATTTCCCCAAGTGCATTTTGATGTACGGTCTGGTGCAAGACGTGTAGTTGGAACTAACCAAAAAGGACAAAGTACTCACACCATACCTACACAATTACATGATTGGGGGTTTATTTGATTCAAACTTAGGATTTTTGTAAAGATTGCGTCAGAAAATGGCAAATATTTCTCGCCTTTGTTCGCAACTGTATTCGATTGCGATCCATTACAGAAATTCTCATGTCAGAGGTCAGACTAGCTCGGCGCAGATCATTTGCGTTTGATCTTAACGCCGATTTTTGCTTTAGCGCTCTCCGCCGCTTGAGAACCACCCCCAAAATGGCTCCACTTCTGTCGACTCTCAGCCTTTAGTTGTCGCTTCTTTCCAGGAGAAGAGAGGAGAACCAACAAAGTTCAGTCAGGTCATCTGGATGGTTTCTATTTTTGTTGAGACATTTCATCCAGATGACCTGACTGAACTTTGTTGGATTTTTTTTTACCTGGATTATTGAGCATGAACTTTGATGTTTTGAGCCACTTTGGCTATGGCTGCCTCAGAGGAGTCGACGAGGGAGAGGGCGGGCCCCAAAACCATCTTATCACCAGTAAACTAGTTGGTCCACTATGGGAGTGTGCTGCTTGTGGGACTGAGTTTGTTGTTCAAGTTAAGTTTATTGTCATTCACATCACACGCAGTGCATGAGGTGGAACAAATGACGTACCGTACTTGCCGCCATACACGTCGCACTGCCATGTAAGTCGCATCAGTCCAAAAATATCTAATAAAGTGGAAAGGAACACAAATAAGCCGCTTCGCTGTATAAGTCACATCTATTATGTGTCACCACAAACCTGGAAACGTGGGCCGGTGTTGTGCCAAAAATTGATTGGCTGCCAAATGGCGGCCGTGGAAGCGTTCACAGGACTTTTAACAAGAATTTAACAAGATAAACACCTAAGAACAATTATTTGTTTGCTCATCATTATAGTAAATGTGTGTCTCAGTTGAACTTTTACTTAATAAATGCACTTTAATGGTCAAATCAGCTGCATCTCACCTGAGCAGCGCGGCGAAATGCAGCTGATTTGATGTTTGTTCCAGGAGTTTCAGAGCGAGACGAAGGTGGCTTGGTATGGCAAGCCAAGTGTCTCATTAATAGCCACTTTTCCCTATTAACGAGACACTTGGCTTGCCATTTTACTTGAGCGCCCTCTATTGGCTGAAAATGGTAGTGTTCAATATTTTCCATGTCAGAATGAATGAAATCGTCAGATCTCAGCCAAACATTGGGTTATAAATATGGGGGAAAATGTATATTAGTCGCTTCGGTGTAGAAGTCGTAGGACTTGCATATTTATGGGAAAAAGGTGCGACTTATACGGCGAAAAATACAGTACTCAGGGTTGTGGCTCCTTCGACTGTTGAAGTCCTTTGGATGAAGGACAAAACGTCTCAACAAATAAAAGAAACCGTCCAGATGACCTGACTGAACTTTGTTGGATTTTTTTTAATCTGGATTATTGAGCATGAACTTCAAAGAGAGGAGAACGTTTGTCTTTTTCCTTTCAACCCAGGTGTCTCTCAGTCCATTGTTCTTGGACTCGGTTTACGTCCGGGGATTTATTTCAGCGTCTCAAAATCTGTCGTGCACCAAGGCTGTCTGAAGCATCCTCATCAATGCTCGAATGTAAACGACAGACTCGATTTATTGTTGGCAAAAAAAAAAAAAAAGGCTAATTTCGCTCATTTATTTTATATTATTTGATTAATCTTTGGTAGTGAATGATGAATTTTTAGTGTTTTACTTTTTTCATCCTAGATGATGAACTGAGAACAAAAATTCAAATCATAGCCTTGAAAAGTTGCGTATTTTATCCGTCAACCTTTATTTATACAGGTAATTCCCAACAGCTACTATGGTGTTGAAGCTGCTGTGATGGTCACCATGGTAACCACACATCTGTGTTTGTTCCTCCCCGACTACCAAGTTAATGAGTGGCATACTGAAAAGTAAGCCTCAAACAAACAGGTGCTATATGAACACTATAAATCAGGTTAAAACGTTTTTTTAAGCAGTTTGGATGGTCACGCGTGTAAATTTTCATGTTCCTACAGTGTTTTGTGTCGGAGATATGACCAGTTAAGTGAAATTGAAAGAACCCTTCACTTCCAGCTTGGACGAGAATATTTTAAGATAAAATTTTGTTGAAGTTTGGGTGCGTGCTGCCTTCGTTTTGGGGAGATTTGAGGGAAAACTATAAGTACCATTGCTGTGAGAGACGCTTGTGTGAAAGAAGAGAAAAATGTCCACGTGTTAACATTTTAGATCATTTTAAAGTTAGTGGCATCATCAATATTTTGAGCAAGTCTGTAAAAACCTTTAAACTTAAACTGTGATTGTACAAAAACCATAAAACATGCCAAAAAGTCACTTCAGACTCGTAAAGTCTAACGTTCTGTGACCCGTTCAAACTTTGAATGATGGTTTTACGCTGAAGTAAATCTGAGCTACAGATCTCCAAAGAGGACTGATGTTTCTCATTGATCTCCTTTTTTTTTTTTTTTTTTTTTAGTGTTTTTGCAGATTTTGTCTACGCTGTACGATGTACCGCTTCCAAACATCATAGCACACTATTCCCGACTGAGCTGCACAATTTGACGTGCAATTTGCACATTTTAATTTAAAGCCGCTCAATGAGAAACGGGACAATAATAATAAAAAAGAATTAGTAATTAGGGCATGTCGAGGCTGACTGACATCCTTAATCAGACATTAGAGACGCACTTCTCTAAGGTTTGCTGACTACTTGTCCCAAGAGTAAGTTGGCCTGTTCCCTCAGTCACGTAATATCTCATCTTCATGAAGCAAAAGGAGACCAAGAAATAAATCTATTTTTCACATTGACAGTTCCTCATGTTTTTATGTTCAAGGTTCCTTATTGTCATTCGCATCACATGGTACATGAGGTGGAATGAAATTGTGTACACAGAGTCCCAGTTACATCCAACAATAGCACAAATATAAATTGTAAAAGAAATGAATGTCATTATTAGGAAATGGAAGTAAAACAGAAATCTGAAAAATTAAAAAGTGCTTGCAAAGCTGCTAGAAGGGAAAATTAAAATGAAATGAACGTTAAATAAGTAAACTCTATAAATCTAACGAGGTTAAATCAGGTCCTCTTTGTCGAAACGTTTCGTCTTTTATCCTAAAGACATTCAGTCTGAGACCCTGCAGCAAACTCAGTCTCATAAATAACATGTTATCACAGCGGATCAACCAGTTTACTGCTGACAGCAAGAACTAGCTAGTCACATGTACAAGGAGGACCATCAGTCTAACAAAGTCAAGTCAGGTCCTCTGGATGGATAAAAAACAAAAACTTGTTGAAACGTTTCGTCTTTTATCCTAAAGACCTTCCATCTGAGGAGCTGCAATAAACTCAGTCTTACAAACCACTTCTTCTCAGAGTGGATCAACCAGTTTGCTGGTGACATCCAGAACTAGTTGTTCACATGATCAGAGGACCATCAGCCTGACGAACGATCGTTGGTGCCCTGTTGGCCGCTTGTTATTCAGAGGGCTGAGTGATATTAGCAATAACAGCGTTGTAAGAGGGGGACAGTTGAACCCGGAGGCCTCCACCCCTGTTTAATCATGGACGGTTTCTTTTCACAAAGATGGCCTCCTTTACTCCTCTCTCAAACCATCGTTCCTCTCTGTCCAGGATGTGAACATCTTCATCCCTGAAAGAGTGACCGCTGGCCTGGAGATGAGTGTAGACCGCAGAGTCCTGGCCTGATGATGTTGATCTTCTGTGCTGGCTCATCCTTTTGGCCAATGACTGTTTAGTTTCCCCGATGTAAGACTGATCACCCTCCTGACACTGAACAGCATACACAACATTACTCTGTTTGTGCCGGGGGACTGGATCTTTGGGATGAACCAGTCTTTGCCGTAATGTATTTTTGGGGTTTAAAAGCCACTGGGACGTTGTGTTTAGAAAATAAACGTCTCAGTTTCTCTAAAACTCCTGCACATTTTGTATGAAAAGAACCCGTCCATCGTTAAACGGGGGCGGGGGCTCCGTGTTCAACTATCACCCTCTTACAACGCTGTTATTATCACTCAAGTAGCCACCAGGGCACTAACGACCAATTGTTAGGGCTCGAAAGATCCGTTGTTAAACTGCTGGTCTTCCTTTTCCATACGACTAGCTCGTTCTGGATGTCAGCAGTAAACTGGTTGATCCACTGTGATAAGGTGTTATTTATAAGACTGAGTTTGCTGCGGGGTCTCAGACGATGTGTTTTGGATAAAAGACGAAACGTTTCAACAAAGAAGAATCTGTCCAGAGGACCTGATTTAACCTCGTTAGATTTTTCTACCTGGATTATTGAGCATGCATCAGGACGTTTTAATCTCTATAGATTCTGTAGGAGTGTTTCATGTCTCTGTCATCCAGCCTCTTAAAAAATGACCTTCATGGAGGAGTCGCCAAAAGAAAACAGTTGCCTTCTCACCACAGAGCTCAACATTCACGGTTTCGTAGTTTAATAATTTCACTAATCTGCTGTAGTTTGAGGGCTTTTAAGGATTTTTTTTTTTTTTTTTGCTAAAGTGGAAAGAAAGGTGCGTGATTTTGTGAGAAGAGCTGCGTTCCTGTTGTTGATCGCGAGAGTCGATCAGTGCTTCACGCTTACGCTGCACTCGTTCCTGTGGTGAACCAGTCGAGGGCAGAGCAGATATCTGGAATAAGCATCACAAAGAGAACCACAGGTTGACTTGGTTCAAATCAGGAGGCGCAAATCAATGTTTTGTTTGCTTTGATACTCTGAGCCCAACATCAAAACTGTCGTCAAACATTTTCAGTTCGAGATGAAAAGCGTGTTCATAAATATATACGTGACCGGACTCAATGGTCAAAATGAACTAAGCACAGTTTCAGATTCCTGGCTGATTTTTAAGCTACATTTTGTTACAGAATCATCCCGATGTCTGGAGCAGTTCCGTAGATACGATGCGATTTGTTTTGCTAATCCAGATAACCCCTGGAAAATGAGTCTAATCCTATTTTTTTTTTTTTTTTTTTTTTAGCAGATTTTAATGAAGATTTCTTGACGTCATTTGAAAAGAAGAACCACGTCTGGGTATCGAGATTTCATGGCTGGTATTGAAAATAACTGCGCTAACCAGATGGGAAATTGGGAAAAATTTGAGCTTTTCTGTTCAAAATCATTGTTAGTTTTTGGTACTGCTCAGAAAAGACGAGTATTTTTTAACATGTCAGTTAGGGGCGCCACCGATAAATCGGCCGATACTTGCACGAGAAACTGATTTTACTGATTTTTTTTTTTGTTTTAACAACAATCGTCTGATCTTCATTTATATTTCAGAGCACGACCTCATGGCCAGTTAAAACAAGTTTGCATTGTTTCTAGGATATTGTTCAGGGGTATGTTTTTCAACAAAATAATAGTGGAAAATTGAATTGTGACCTTATAACACCCGACGGTGTCGCTTATCAAACAAAATCAGTATCGGCCAAAATGGGAATCGGCAGGTCAGATTTTTTAGAAATCAATAATCGGCCAGAAAACTGCAATCGGTGCACCCCTAATTTCAGTGAAGGGGCTGATGGATAAGGTTTAATCATGTGCAAATCACATCATATCTATGGGACCGCTCCAGATATCAGGATGATTCTGTAACAAAATGTATCTTAAAAAGCAGCCAGGAATCTGAAACTGTGCTTAGTTCATTTTGACCATTTCTGTGATGGAGTTAAATGCTCAGATAAATAGTCAAATTATTATTTTTATATATGAAAGTCTCTGTTAACTCAGCAATGTTTCTGTTCTGTGCCCTGAGATGACTTCTGTTGTGACTTGGGACTATATAAATAAACTGAATGGAAATTGAACATGTTCATCATCATCATACCAATTAACTGGTGAACTACAGCTGCCTGTTTCCCTAATTCAATGTTGACGAGTCACATACGGGTCCTAAACCTGCTGCTGCTTTCTTTTTTTGTCATTTGTGACCCGTGTTGACAAAAGGAGTCGGAATGAGCGCAGACTGCAAAATACAAACGATACGTGAAAGTTTATTTTTGCCGTAATTGAGATTTACGTAAAACTGAGTATCGTATGAGATTGTGCAACATGTTATGTACAAAGTTTGACCAAAACGGCTGCAAGTCCCACGATCCCAACATGAGATTATATATTTTTTATCACAGATCTGGCCTGAAAGGCGGCGGGCGATGTGCATTCCTTCACTCGGTGCCGGCCTTTTAAATTTACTGGTGTTTTAATCACAAATGTTGATGCTTGCTGGAGTTCAGGGAGTGAAACGTCCTCCGTTTTGTTGCAGTCATGCCCTCAGTGATGGAGCGCTCGGGGGCCGGGGTCCTGTCGCGGAGCAGAGCCAAAACCGTCACCAACGGCAACAGCCAGCCCCACTCCGAGGAGGAGAGCAGCGATGAAGAACACGCTCACGGTAAACACGTTACCACCAACTCCTGAGTGTTGGTTTAAAACGCTCACCAACGTTTCGGCGTTAAACACATTTTATTGCTGCATCATGCCGGCTGTTCTGCAGTCGCCCTCTGCTCCAGAATCCGTGTCTTTTCCTTCATCTGCAGTCGCCCTCTGCTCCAGCATCCATGTATTTTCCTTCATCTGCAGTCGCCCTCTGCTCCAGCATCCATGTATTTTCCTTCGTCTTTCTGTCTCCACTGTTTCTGTTTAATGGTTTTTTTTAGATCGCACACAGATGTTTTAGTTTAAATCAATACTCTGCAGCCTCCGTTTCCTTTCTCAGCATCCTCCTTCATAGTTCCCTCTTCCTGGCTCCTTCGGCTCGTGATCCATCTACTTGTGTCTCTGTCGTCCCCCCCCCCCCCCACACACACACACACACTTCTTTATTTGACCACAGAAATCAAAGGATACACACATGTACTGTGGCAGAAATGTAAGCTGTAAAAACAGCACTGCTGGACTGGACCTTATTGTCAGGAGGGGGTGGGAAATATTTATAATCATCTCCTGTGTCTGTATGATGTCTGTTAGCAAAATATCTAACGACTCACTGGTGGGATTTTATTGAAACTTTCAGAAAAACGTTCATTTGATTTGAAAGTTCATGCTCAATAATCCAGGTAGAAAATCCAACAAGTTCAGTCAGGTCCTCTGGACAGTTTCTTTTATTGTTGAGACATTTTGTCCTTCATCCAAAGGACTTCATCAGTCCGAGGAGCCACAACAAACTGAGTCCCGCAAGCAGCACACTCAGTGTTTTGAACCACTTCGGCTGCCTCAGAGGAGTCGACGGGGGAGAGGGCTGTTACGTCCACCATGATACAACATATTAAGTAGGAGACAAGACTCGGATACGATGGTTCAAACTTTCAATTTATTAAAAAGCTGCTGCTGCTCGCAAAAAGTGAAGATTATTATGAACCCCCAATTCCCGTGTCCACCAAAAAAAGACAGAAAAACCCAAAGTACTAAATCAAAGATGGACCTGGTGAGGCGGCCAAATCATACAGTTACAACAGCGGGCCGACCCTATACAGGGCCGTCGAAGCCGCTGCTGATACCAGACTAAAACTAGAAAAACCTTTAAAAATAAAGAAAAGACTATTACCAAAAAAAAGCGAAAACAGGACAACCGGACCCACCAGGCCAAAATTACTACAAAAACATGTAAAAAGTTAAAAGGTTACCGTGTTGGTTGAGAGGGATCAAAAACAGAGCGAGCCTGAGAGACGAGAGCTCCTGGGGACCAGCCTGTTTATAGGTGGGCGGAACACGCCACAGCCCAAAATAACCAAAGGTTAATTAGTGAACCCAAAATATGTCCAACGGACAAATGGTAAACCATCTTATCACCGTCAAACTGGTTGGTCTGTGTAGGTGTGCTGCTTGTGGAACCGAGTTTGTTGTGGCTCCTCGGACTGATGAAGTCCTTTGGATGAAGGACAAAACGTCTCAATAAAAAAAACGAAACCGACCAGAGGACCTGACTGAACTTTGTTGGATTTGTTTGATGTGCGTCGAAAACTGACCACCTACCGATTCAAAATGGTCGCCACGGTCAGCTGACTCAAGAAAACACAAATACATGTCTATAATCCAGTCAGTTTTATAGACACTGAGATAAAATTTGGAGTGGTAGTAGCTGAACAACACATAATCTGAGCCAACACATCGTAGAAGAGTTAATCCAAACCACAGGCCTTTAACTGATTCTGTATTTCCACTGTTTTCATCACTTCGGCCTCTGACACCTCATCCTGAACGTCTGCAGCAGCGTGTGTTTCAGCGTTTATGTAAAAACGGCCTCGGAGGCGATGCTTGAAATTTTGTGATCCCTTTTATAATTTTCTGCATAACTATGACCTAAAGCATCATCAGATTTCCACACAAGTCCTAAAAGTAGATCAAGAAAACCTAGCTAAACAAACGAGACAACATTTTATACTTGGCCATTTATTTATTGACAAAAATAATCCAATATTACATACTCACTCGAATTTCACTCCTGAGATTAATAAAGGATCTATGTTTCTATTTGTGAGTGGCAAAAGTAAGTGAACCTCTAGGATTAGCAGTTAATTTGAAGGTGGAATTAGAGTCAGGTGATGTCAATCATTGGACAATGACCCAAAGGTCGCAGCTAAAGCAACACTCGAGTGGTTTAAGGGGAAACGTGTAAATGCTTTGGAACAGCCTCACAAGGCACTGTATATTAGAAATGCTCCTTGTTTCTCTGTCAAACCATGGATGGCTTCCTCTTGAACCTTCTTGTAAGAAAACACCAGTCCGAGTTCTGCCTCAGTCTGGGAACGGTCGATCCTCGTCTTCTACTTCTTTACTCCAGGACATGGTCGTAATGTTCACTCCTCGTCTCTCCACACAGACAGCATGATCAGAGTCGGAGGAGACTACCAGGCCCAGATCCCAGAGTTCAAACCAGGTGAGCAAATCTCAGGAGGAAGACACGCTGGTGAAATACTGATCATTTAGGAAAATTATAATAAATCTTCTGGTTAATATCAGTAGAATAAAAAAAGTACAGAAATATCCTGATGCATGTTCAATAATCCAGGTAGATAAATCTAACACGGTTAAGAGGTCCTCTGGATGGATTCTTCTCAAGAAGAATCCATCCAGAGGACCTCTTAATCTTGTTAAACTACAGAAATATTTTTGTTCATACCAGCTGGATACAGATTTGCATAAATGCTCTAGAAAGAACAATAATGTAATAAAGTACAATGCTCCAAATGGTTCTGGTCTCTGTGACTGGGGAAATATTTTTTAACGTGTAAAACATCTTTAAGACTTGAACGGTTGGCTCTGTGATACTAAGAGCTTAACATTTTTTGATAATGTTTATCCATTATCTTTACCCACTTTTTCCTTTTCGGGTCGCGGGGGGTCATTGGAGCACATATCCAGCAGTCACTTTGAGAGGCAGGGGACACCCTGGACAGGTCACAAGTCCACCACAGGGACACATAGAGACAAACGATTTAGTAAAAAACAGAGTCACAATGAAGAAATATTCAATAATGAGTTAATATTTTCAATTTACTGTATTTTCCGCCCTATAAGTCTTGTTTTTTTTGCATAATTTGCATCCTGCGACTTATACGCCGAAGCGACGTATTTATGGATTTTTTCCCATATTTATAAACCAATTTTTAGCTGAGATATGACCGTTTCCATTCATTCTGACTGAAAATGTTGAACACTACCATTTTCAGCTGCTACATGGCACTCAAGTTGTATGGCATGCCATTGCATCATGTAATAGGTAAAAGTGGCTATTAATGACACAATTCGGCTTCATTTCGATGCTCCGCCCCGGCGAAATGCAGATGATTTGACCATTAAAGTTCATTTATTAAGTAAAAGTTCAACTAAGACACACCTTTACTATAATGTCCAGCTAACAAATAATTGTTTTAGGTGGTTGTCTTGTTAAATTTCGAAGAAATGCACAGCGAGTCGCCCTCTGCGCGTTCATGTTTCTGCGTACTGACTTTTGAAAATGCAGCTGATTTGACAATTAAAGTCCATTTATTAAGGAAAGTTAGACTGAGACACACCTTTGCTATAATTTCGAGCAAACAATTAATTGTTTTTAAGTGTTAATCTTGTTAAATTTCTCCCGTGCACGCCCCCGCAGCCTCCATTTGGCAGCCAATCGATATTTGGCACAACACCGGCCCACGTTTCCGGGTTGTCAGCAGTGATGTATAATAGATGCGACGTATACGGCGAAGTGACGTATTTATGGATTTTTCCACTTTATTAGACATATTTAGACTGATGCGACATGTACGGCAGAAAATACGGTATCTATCTAAATCGGCACTTAATGAGCAAATTATCACAGATACCGATATGTCCACAAAACGCACATATCGGCCCAAAATATCGGCCTTACGGATATATCGGTTGGGCTCCAATAAATTCTGCAGAGACAAGATGACGCTACTTCCTGAACATCAGATTTCATCAGAGAGGACAAGCGCACACAGCTCTGCATCTGCACCCACTCCTAATGTCTGTTGGTGACAAACAGGAAGTGGAAGTGGGGTTGTGGTGGGAGTAAATGGGGAGAAGAGAGATTTTGAGTTCTCTGTATTAAGTGGTCCAGATTTGGTGAGAAAGATGAGGAGAAGCTGAAGATAATGTAACTGACTGATGAATTAAATGTATGTTCCTGACAAGGTTTACTGTGTTTTTATCATCAGACAGTCCAGCCCGCTACAACGAGAAGGACCAGAGGAGCATGTTGGTCTGGTGTCCCGACACTCAGCTCTCTGACGCAATGTGTAAGCTCGAAACTATTTATTTTACCTAACTACATTATGACACCTGATAGGGAGGGACATGGTTCCAGGCTGACCAGGGAATCACAAATAACCATCGTCTTTTTATTCTTCGCCTGCGGCATTTTGTCATTTAGCAAAATTAAAATAATTTTTATGAAGCATGCAGAAAGTAGTTCGTTGGGTGTACGGCTAAAATCACAACTTCTGGAGTCGACCTGATTCAAGGTGGCTGCCATACGCAAACTGACCTTAAAAAAATGTTAAAATGTTTATAATTCATTCAACTTGTTTATCGTTTCTTTTATTCCAGTGGATGAGTACATCCTGATGGCTAAAGAAAAGCACGGATACAACATGGAGCAGGTATGAGAAGCTGTACAAGCTCAGCGCTTAATAATTAAATTATTTCTCATTAACTTGAGGGAAACCCACATCTCCACCTCTGGATTTCTGGTTGTCTGCCCCTTCAGGCTCTGGGCATGTTGTTATGGCACAAACACGACGTGGAGCGCTCGCTGGCCGACTTGGCCAACTTCACGCCCTTCCCAGACGAGTGGACGGTGGAGGATAAAGTTCTGTTCGAGCAGGCCTTCAGCTTCCACGGAAAGAGCTTCCACCGCATCCAGCAGATGGTGAGAGACAACGGGAAACTTTTTTTTTTTTAATTATAATTATAAAATCCAACTACAAAGCTGCTTCCTTCTGTAGCTTCCAGACAAACTGATCTCCAGCCTGGTGAAGTACTACTACAGCTGGAAGAAGACCCGAACCAGGACCTCCGTCATGGACCGACAGGCCAGGAGGCTCGTCAGCAAGAGGGAGAAAGATGACAGGTTCAAAACGCACAAAGAAATCTTAATTTAAACCTCTGGGGAAGCTAGTTATAGATGAACGAATGAACAGATGGACAAAATGAAGAAATTAATTTTGACGATTCTCAGAAGCTCCTCATCCGAGGTTTGACATTTCCAGATCTTAGTTAAATAACACTTGACGAGAGTGTCGTCTTGGGACACGAGCTCATGAATATAAATGAGGAAGAGGCAGATCACAACTCGTCATTCGAACTGTTTGTCATTGAAATTAGAAGGACGGAGGCAGAACTTCACCACGACCAATTCTTTTTCTAATTGATTTTTCTTTTTTTCTTTTTGTGCAGCAATGATGATGTTGAGCAAGGAGAGCCGGGCAGTGACAGTGACTTTGAAATCGATGCCAAGAAAGAGGTGGGCGTTAAAATAAACTTTATTCAACATATTTTAAACAAGTATTCATACCCTCTTGAACTGTGGCATTACAAGCACGTGTTTTTTATTGGGACTTTGTGGCAGACTTTCACAAAGGAGTGCGTAAATGTGAAGTCGAGGGGAAATTATATGTGGTTTTTACAGTTTGTAATCAGCTCCCTTACTCTGATACCTCTAACTGTAATCCAGTTCAACAAACATCCTTCAAAAGTCACCCTATTAGTTTACAAGTGCAACTTAGTCTCACGGAACAAATCTAACTGGGTGATGTTGAATGCAGACTGTAAAAGCTGGAAAACCTTAGCAACTGTTTTAGCTTGACAATAAACAATTGTCGTTAGGATAGAAATGTAGGGATGCATCAGGAATTATCTGACTTGCATTATGTAAGTTGTGAAAAGGGTGGGACCTAAGACTGAGCCTTGTGGTACACCATTATTGACAGATAAATAGCTGGAGGAAGTATCATTACATTGAACACATTGCTTTTGATAAATACAGCAGTTTTGTTAAAGCCTCAGGTTTGTTACAGATCATTTTGACCAAACGGCATCATGAAGATCAAGGAACACAGACGACAGGTCAAGGGTAAAGTTGTTGAGAAGTTTAAAGTGGGGTTTGGTTGTAAAACTATATCCACAGATCTGAACATCTCATGAAGCGCTGTTCAATCAGAACGTAGCGCATGGAACAACTGAAAACTTAACAAGACAAGATCTAAACTGACAGACGGGGCAAGGAGAGCATTCATCTGATAAGCAGCGCAGAAGGCCCATAGTAACTGACCTGCAGAGGTCCACACCTCAGGTGGGACAGTCTGTCCACAAAACGTCTATCACCGTACTTGCTGTCATACACGTCGCACCGCCGTATAAGTTGAATCTATTATTTGTCACCACTGACGCGTCGCGGTTGTTACGCGTCACCGCTGACCACCCGGAAACGTGGGTTGGTGTTGTGCCAAAAATCGTTTGGCTGCCAAATGGCGGCCGCTGGAGCGTGCACTGGAGGACTTTAACAAGAATTTAGCAAGATTAACACTTAAAAACAAATATTTGTTTGCTCAACATTATAGTAAAGGTGTGTCTCAGTTGAACTTGTACTTAATAAATGCACTTTGACGGTCAAATCAGCTGCATCTCACCTTGGCGGTGCGGTGAAATGCAGCCGAATGCTCCAGGAGTTCCAGAGCGAGACAAAAGTATCCTGTATGGCAAGCCAGATGTCTCATTAATAGCCACTTTTACCTATTAATGAGACACTTGGCTTGCCGTATTAGTCGAGGGCCCTCTAGTGGCTGAAAATGATACAACATGGTAGGATCTAAATGCAAAAAGCTTTTGTGCGACTAAAAACTTCACCTGTCATCCCCATCTGGTCAGAGTTGATGGGAAGATGGAGCTAAATACAAGACAGAAAAACTTGTTAGAGACCGAGTTTCACCTCACAGCCGGACAACGAACCAAGTCATCTGTTCACATCTACCGTGGAACGATTTCAAGAATATTCATGTGATGGAATGGACCGGCCAGAGTCCAGACCTAAATTAAGTAGAGAATCTGTAGCAAGACCTGAAATGTTCTGTTCAGGCGCTCCCTGTCCACTCTGACTGAACTGGAGTTGTTTTACCAAGAAAAACTGGGAAAAACGTGTGAAGCTGGTGAAGACAAACCCCTAAAGACCTGCAGCTGTAGTTACACAGAAAGGTACTTTACACAAATACACATCAGACTTTTTAGATCCATCAAAAAGTTAGAAACCTGTGATTTGTTTTTCTACTTTTTGTTGATTATCACTTAAATCCCAGTAAAATACTTTAAAGTTTGTGGTTGTAACAGAGCAAAAGTTCAGGGGGTATGAATACTTTTACACTCATACACAGCTCTATCCTTCAGTCACTGTTTTTAAATTTTTTTTTTTCAATGCAGGCAGTGAAGCAGAACCCCAGCAGCACCTGTACAGAGAAGCCGACCCCCAGTCGGTCCGGCCCGGTGAAGAAGGAGAACATCGGCGCTCAGTACAGACACCACCCCCTCAGAGCCCGGCGCAGACCACCCAAGGGAATGCACTTGGAACAGGCTGACATCACGGCCCTGTCGACCTCCCACGATGCCGGAGTTCTGTCCGTACGTCAGCTTGACACACACCTGGTGTCGCTCAAGAGACAGGCGAGTTTTCACACGCGAGCGCTACAGAACGTCTTCTTTACTTCACACTCGACGTTCTGTAGCTGTTGGAGTTCTGTTAACCCCTTCAAACTCAAAAGGAAAAAATAGAACAGTTAATATCTTACCTGTTGTGGATACCTTTTGGAATGGCCTCAGTTTGGAGAAATTTTCAGACCCGGCTAGTTTAAAAGGTCAAAAAGTCAAAGCTGCCATCTTTAAATACCTCCAATCTAAAAACAACAGTGTTTCAAACACAAGCAGCAGCAGCTAGCTGTGGCACTTGTGCAGCCTGGGGACACTTGGGGCAGAAAAATCTAAATATTTCAGTCAGAATAAATCACCTGATGTGATGTTAGTGGCTCTGTAAACATTTAACCCCCATCACGGAGCTAAAAGGAGGAAGTGGAAATACTCTCCGTCCATCTGTGCACGTTGTGAGCATATCTTGAATAAGAGAGGAACAGACTTCTATTTTGGTGAGTGGCTCCATGTGGCCTTAAGAAAGATTCCTTTTGAATATTGGGTTGCCATGTCAAAATCTAAGATGGCCACGACGTACATATGTAAATCTTGTTAGCTGGATCTCCAACGCGTATCCGTAGTCGTGTCGCGGAGGCAACCGGTCCAAGAGAGAAACCCAGACGTCCCTCTCCCCAGAGCCGCTTGTCGTTCCCAGGCCAGAAGATCAACAATCCCTCCAGTGACTTCTGGGTCTTCCCTGGGGCCTCCTTCCAGTGGGACGTACCTGGAAAACCTCTAAAAGGAGGCGTCCCGGAGGCTCTACTCCGAGCTCCTCCCGGAGGACGGCGCTCCTCACCCTGTCTCTAAGGCTGAGATCGGCCACCCTGCGAAGGAAGCCCCCGACCCTCATTCCAGCTGCTTCACACTCTGCTGCAAACCACCCAGTGCACGCTGAAGGTCCTGGCCTGAAGACGCCGACAGAACCGCATCATCTGCATAAAGCAGAGATGAGACACAGAGGTTCCCAAACCAGACACCCTCCTCTCCACGACTGCGTCTTGAGATCCATGAAAACCACAAACAGGATCAGAGTCGAGGGACAGCCCTGTCAGATTGAGAACGAGCTCGACTTTGTGCCAAGGATGTGGACACAGATCCTTCTTTGGTCATATAGGGACCAGATATGCGGATTAAAATTCTCCTGTTGCCGCGACGGATTTAGATTTTGTTTAAAGGTGACAACGAACTAGTTTTTCCAAGGAGCCATTCTCAACAAGTGAGATTAATTCAAAACCTTTCCACAGAACCCCACTTTAAAACTATTGAATTCTTACTCCTCCTCCTCGCACTGAACGATAGAGATACAACAATCCCCCTTTTTTAAAATTCCGATACCGACACCGGCGTTTTGGCGTCGGTCGATAGCGATCCGATACATTGAACTCTGCGCCAGTGCAGCACACTTAAACACACCAATAGCTTTCACAAGCTTGGTCAAACATGAACAAACAACACAACTTTAATTTGTTCAGTCAGTGCGATTATGAGTATAAAATCAAATGTAAAATAAATAATAATAAAGATAATGAAACTGACCAAAACAATAGGTTGACAACTTTGGCTTCAACAAACCTTTCAAATGGTTCGGGGATTCTAAATATAATGTAAAATAAATAATAAAGGAACTGAAATAAGAGGAAAAACAGTAGCTTGTTTGGCAGATATTTAAAATAAACAGCAATCGGCTCCCGTCCTTATGGATCGGTCACATTTTCACAATACCTGATCAAGAATTTTTTCGAAATCTGTACCGATACTGATACTAATATCGGATCGGTGCCTCTCTGCTGAACGACCACCGGTTTACGATCAAAGATTTTTAAAAATGTTACAAAATGCACCTGTTAATGTGAAGAAACACGTTTAACGTTTGGATCGGGTTGCCTGCTCCTATAAATCATGAAGGAATACCGCAGCGGGCCTTTAGTTCGAGGAGCTGCTGGTGGAACGTTTCTTTACTGTCGTTTAAAAGATGAACACCAGGAGGGAACCACACTGACCTCAAACATTCTGCTCTCTTGGTTTAACCTCATCATGTTTGTTTCCTTCAGGTCCAGTCCGTTAAACAGACCAACAGCAGTTTGAAGCAGGGCCTAGCTGAAGGTGTGGACTCGTTCAAACCCACCGAGGTATGTTTACCTCCTTCTGTTTCCTGACTGTTTACTCCTCATCCTTCATGTTTTCCTTCTTCTCCTTCGTGTATCCACTCTGTCGTCGCCTCAACAACCTCCAGTTTTCGCCTCGCCTCACGCGGGACTCGGTTAATCTCAATCTGCTCACGACTCTCATGCTGTCCTCTTTGTCTCATCTCTTTCAGCCTGCCCCCAAGATGAACTCGCGTTGGACCACGGAGGAGCAGCTCCTGGCCGTGCAGGGTGAGTAGAAGCTCCTCCTCCTCCTCCTGTCTGCCCTTCATCTCTCAGACAACACATTCATATTCCCCACACAGGAACCGTCTGCTGTATGAGGACACAGTGTCTCTCCAGAACTGTCCTCTGCCACTGAATGCTTGGCTGTAACGTTTTTATTTCATTCATTTGGAGTTACTCAATAAAGGACACTGGAGTGAAATTGACAAAAATACTAAAAAATGAACTGATGAAAATCAATCATTGGTTTGAATTTAGGCTCAAAATAATTTATCTAGCTCTCTATATATCTATATCCATCTATCTATATATCTATGTATATATCTATGCATCTATATATCCGTCTCTATATCTTATCTCTCTCTCTATATATATATATATCTATCTAGATCTCTTTATATATTTTATCTCTCTCTATATATCAATGAACCAATCCAATCAATGAATCAAATTAATTTTATTATTATTATTTTTCTAACTGGCCTTGACAAACAAAGTGGAACCATAAGAAAAAAGAGAGAACAGTTCTTGTTAGACTAAGGTGTGTCCTGTTAGCGTCACAGTTTGTCTGTTGACAGGGTGACAGGTAGTCACAGTGCAGTTGGTGTCATCGTGTGTAACACACTGACCATAAAGCTGAGGACAGGGATGTCTCAGGATGTTAGAAACATGATAATTGAGCATCATGCTAAAGGTAAAGATTGTAAGACCATCTCCAAGCAGCGAGACGTTCCTGTGACTGCAGCTGCTCAGATTATTCAGAAGGTCCTCAGGTCTGGAGTCGGATTATATAGATGGTAGCCAGAGTTTAGAACAATGAGAGATTAGAGGTGAACTCTGGGGTCAAAGGTCATCAGTATCGGATCAAACCGTTGGTCTTTGAACTGAGAGATCCTCCTGGACGAGAAGTGAAACGTCTTCACTACAGAAAAGAAGTCCAGTTGTTCAACTTTTTGGATCTACTGAGTCCTGGACACCATCAGACCGTTGGAGACAAAGTGGACCGAGGAGGACATTTTATCCTGACTGGACTTTGTCAAAATGCTCATTGAGAAGCTGCAAAGCTTCTGGGAAAGTGTCTTTAGGACAGACGAGACCAAACTGGAGCTTTTTGACAACAAGTCCCATCAGCCCTCTGTCCACAGATCCAAAAATAAAACCTACAAAGAAAAGAACCCCGAACCTGCAGGGAAACACGGAGGAGGCTCGGTTCTGTTCTGGGTCCAACAAAACCTCAAGACTATCGAGGCATTCTGCAGCAAAATTCATTTGGTTTCAGTCACAGGTCCTCCAACAGGAGAAGACCCAAAACATCAAGAGCTGCTCAGAACCAAAGACTGGACTGTTCTGGAGTGGTCTCCTGAGCCCTGATCTAAATCCTGTTGAACATCTGCGGAAGGAGCTCAAACATCTGGAGAAGGAACCCTTCAAACCTGAAGCAGCTGAAACAGCTTGCTCACGAGGACTGGACCAGAACACCGTGTGGACCAGAACACCGTGTGGACCAGAACACAGTGTGGACCAGAACACCGTGTGGACCAGAACACCGTGTGTGTACCAGAACACTGTGGACCGTCTTGTCGAAGCTCCAAAAATTCACAGTTGAAACCCGTGCCTTTGTGTAAAAAGAAGCTGAGAACTTGTTTACTGATTATTTATTAAAAGCTTTGTGTGAAAAATGCTAATGAGCTCAAACCACACCGAGCATCTGCCATTTTGAGAACTGAACAACAGGAACGAGTGACAGCCCATGTCACATCAAGGGGCCTCCCTCCCATTTTTCTTAGACACGCTGCTCGCTCCCTCACTATCCATCCTTCGGTTCAAACAGTCGTATACTGCCATCCTGTGGTCTGAAAAGGTACTACACACAAAACAAATTAACAAACATTTCTTCTTAAATTAAACAATATTATCGTTTACCGCAATAATTTGTGAGACAATGAATCGCCCAACAAAATTTGTTATCGTGACAGGCCTAGTTGTCCAAGGGTTTGAGAAGGAAGCGGTTTCCTGCTCCGGCAGCAGTTTTTGAGGCAGGTCAGGTGTGCTGAGAGCAGGTGCCTTCACTGTCCTGTTTTCATCGTCTCTGTCCATGCGAGCAGACACAACTCTAACCTCACGTCTCCTCTCCAGCTATCCGTCGCTACGGTAAAGACTTCACAGCCATCGCTGAAGTGATCGGCACTAAAACTGCAGCTCAGGTGAGCAGAAACTCCTCCCGTCACCTCCTGGTCTCACCTTGGTCTGAGCATCTCTCGGTCCTTGAACGCAGCGTCTCTGCCGCCAGTAACTGAACCTCCGTGTCTTCACTCAGGTGAGCTCGTTCTTCATCAGCTACCGGCGGCGCTTCAACCTCGACGAGGTGCTGAGGGAGTGGGCGGCCGAGCAGGTGGCCACCAACCGGGACCAGAGAGACTCGAGGAGGAGCAGCGAGGAGGCGGCAGCAGCTGACGGAGGAGTCGAGGAGGAGGAGGTGAGGTTATACTTCATATTCAGATGACAGAAGGTCACAGTATTGAACAAATCCAGTATTTTAAGCCATTACTGTGGACTGATGATGAAACCAGGAGGTTCTGGTGTTTTCACAGATCAATTGATAGAATGCAGGTACGCACTTAATGTAAACAAAACACTTTAACCTGTCGAACAATCTGAGCGTCAATACAAACAAGTCCCTGAAAGTTGTTGTCTCCATCCCAGACGTCCCTGTTGTGGACGTATTTTCTGTAGGTAAACAAACACGTGATAACTTACGGGTTTTTAATTAAAGGACACGTGCACTATCGAAGAAAAAACAAAAATTTGTTTCTTGCTTGAAGTTTTTTACACAACTCAAATGTTTCTTTATCCTCGACTATTACAAAAAGATAAATAACAAAAGTATTTGAGGCTCAACAGCTGGAACAACAGTCTGGGACCGCCTGGGTTGAAGTGTCTCATAACAAAGTTGAGTTGTTTAAGAACCAAAATATGATTTGTTCTTTTCATTACGACAAAATGCAACAACAATACATTTTTATTTTTTTAAGAAGAAACATTTGTGGCTGAAAATGAGTGGAGACAAAAAAAAATTAAAACCAACAAACTTCTCATGACTTAGCAAGAACCCTGGTTCTGGTTCCTAACTGGAGCAAGAACGCTGGTTCTGGTTCCTA